ATTTCATGCGTTGGTGAAGAGTAGATGTCACAACTCCTGCTACATGGATCCATGGGAGACCCAAAAGGCAAGTATAGGATGAACGAATGTCCATAACATAGAATGAAAGATAGAAGGTGTGGGGACCAATTTTGACAGGCAAGTCCACTTCTCCCTCCATAGACCTCCTTGAGACATCAAAAGCTCAAACACTTAGGGTGCAAGGCCTCATCATTACCCCATCCTATTCAGCCTAAATTGAGTAGCCTTGGGCATCACATTGAGAGAAGAACCTGTATCCACCAAAAATTGAGATAAAACTGTATCCAAACACCTTATGGAGATATGTAGTGTCTTGTTGTATGCTATGCCTTCAACTGGGAGCTCATCATCACAGAAACCCAAACAATTTCCTACAACAATATTGGTTATGATCCCTTCAAACTGAGCCATAAAAATGTCTTGTGTAACATGTGCAAAACATGAAATCTTTAATAAGGCATTGCGGTGAGTTTCTGAACACAAGAGAAGGGACAAGATGTAGATCTTGGATGGCGTCTGGTTGAGTTAATTAACCACTTTGTAATCACTTTGCTTGAGAATCATCATAATATGCTCCGCTTCTTGACCTAAAGAAGGTTCAGGTTGGTCAGAATCACTTGCTTTCCCCCAGCCTTGGCTAGAGCATCACTGTTGGTTTCTTTGGGAGGCAGTGGCGGGGGAGAAAAGACCTTGCCACTACGAGTCATGTTACTGGTTCCTAGGATGTTGTGAATATTCTTGCCACCCACTGGGGGACACTCATATTTATTCCCAAGAATATAGACCACATTATACTCCCACAGAGCTGCCTTTGAGTTATCACACAAAGGAGGAATAGGAATTTGAGCTGTCTAGGGGGTAACTGGAGCTTGAATCATTAATGGGGTAGCGGGAGCCTGAATCATCAATGGGGTGCCTTGTGTTACCGATATTTTCCTCGGATAATAAGTAACTTCCAAGACATCAATCTCTTCTTCTAGAAATAACTTCTCTACCTGTAGGACACCTTCATCCATTAGCTGTTGGACAGTAGTCTTCAAACTAGCACACTCTTCAGGTTTAGATGAACATAATAAGGAAAAATCATGGAGTTCTTGAAGCACCTCATGCTTCAACAAATGTTCTCTAAAAGTCCCCAGTGACATCTTGATCTCGTCAACCTTGGTTACTAGAATCTGCTAACTACCTTCTTCAATAGCATTGACCACGGCCTCTGGGAGAGGAGGCATGGGATTATTCTGAATATTGGGACCAAGAAGGTTGAAATTTGTGATCTTTGCATCGAGGAGGTCTTGAACTTTGCATTTAAATGCTCTACAATTCTCAATTGTGTGGCCTGGGGCTTCAGAATGAAATTCACAGTGCACATTGACATCATATCCCCTTGGAAGATTTTCTGGTGGTGGACCAAGTTCTCGTAATTAAACCTACTGGCTGGAGAGCAGTTGTAGAAAAACCTGAGTGTAGGACATAGGAATAGGATCAAAACTCCTCTCATGCCCTCTTTGTTTCTATTGAACTATCGGACCTCGAGGTTGCTGATTTTGTTGTTCATAATTCAGAGGTGGTGCACATTGTTATTGTGGAAGATACCGTGGTTGAGGAATGAAAGCCCGTTATTGGGCCATCCAGGCTCATGGAGTAGTAGAAGCATAAACTTGAGGAACATATTGATTAGGAACGGCAGCAGGTGTTAGGAAATAAGGAAATCGAACTTGATGATATTCATGAGCTTTTGCTTTGTCGATGTTGACAACACTAGTCTCACCCTCTTTTGTCTTGACAAAACCAGAAGATGGATTCCTACCATTTCTAGTATTGTTATTGGTAGTGTTAGGGATACCTTGGATCATTCCAGCCTTGGTACAAGTTTCAACATGTTCTCCAATAATAACCATATCAGAGAAAGAAGTAGAGGTACTATTGAGCATGTGTTGGAGATAAGGACCTCGTAGAGTATCCATGAACAAATCAACCAGTTCATAATCCAAGCGAGGAGGTTTGACCCTTGCAGCCAGTTCACACCACCTTTGGGTGTACTTTTTAAAAGACTCGTCGGATTTGTGTCATCCCTTGAAGCTGAGTGCAGCTAGGAGCCATGATGGTATTATAATGGTAATGTCTCAAAAAGGCGTCAGCAAGCTCTCCCCAAGTACTAACATGAGTTCTTTCTAGTTGCATATACCAGTCCATTGGTGCCCCTGTCAGGCTGCCTTGGAAGAAATGAATGAGCAACGGTTCATTTTCAGCATAAGCTTCCATCTTACGACAGTAGGAACGAAGATGAGTTTTTGGGTAGGAGGTGCCTTTATATTTGTCAAAATCAGGAACTTTGAACTTGGGAGGAATAACTACCCCAGGCACGAGGCACATTGCAACAATATTGAATCTTGAAGTCTTGATACCTTCCATAGCTTTGAGATGCTCTTCAAGAGCACGATACATCTTTGCATTTTCAGCAACTCCAGCGGCGAGAGTCATGTGGGGCTCATCAAGATCAATGAAGTCGTTATGATCATCAAATCATTCCGAGGAATTCTCATAGGGGTCTCAACATTCACATTATTATTCCCTCCATTTGTAGAAGTGAAGGGGGAAGTAGTGGCAAGGTTGGCAATACGTTGATGGAGCTCTTCTTGACCCTTGATGACAACACAAAGGGTTTCCATAAGCTGATCCATTTGGGTTCCCATGGTGTCCATATTATGGCGGAAAGCATTATGATTTTCTTTGAAGAGATCCATAAGTCTTCACTGGTTGCTTCTTGTATGGTAGGGATGTAGGGAAGTCGTCTTTGTTGTTCACTAAAGTTGGATTGAAAAGGTACCCCAATAAGTTTTTGTTAGGAATAATGAATGCATGATAATATGAATGCATGTTTCATCTATATTTCCGAGGAAATCCAAAGACTCGTCTATCCATAAGTATCTTTTAACAATTTTTATTTTTGAAGAGCTCAACCAACAAGACTTGTCTTTGGAATTCCTTAGATATGAGATGCATATACATGATGGTATGATGCCATGGTATTCCATGGCATGGGATCTCAGCTCCACATATTATGGATAACCACCGTATAATCCTTTGCATAAACTGAAAGTAACAGGATCAAAGGTCTGAAGTAATGAGCATGAAGTCAAGGTAACCACCCATAAGGCATGGACTAATGGTTTATCACCTGTAGATCAAGGTTCTAAGGAAATAGCAGAGTCTACATTCCTCTTTAGGATATTACCAACGTCCCAATTACTTGGTAATTAACAATATTCTCAAGAAAAACTCGTCTGAGTGCAGCATCGTGTGACAAATACTTCTGGGTTACTCTGTTATAGTCTTCGCACTACATCTAAAAGGCCAAGATGGGTTAAGGGTTCTATGACTTCTCAGCTTCGTAGGCTCCCAAGTCGAAAGCAACAATGTTTTCTCGATTACTCGGTAAACAAATACTACAGTCAAAGTAGCCTCCACTGACTGGGGTATCTCATGCCTCCTTCTTCGAGATTACTCCCTCAAAGTTAACATGACTATACCGCCCATCCTAATCTTAAGTGTAACTTAGTCTGGGTATAGGACTTGTCAAATGAAATCACCCACCCCAACATCATAAAAGATACAACATATCCAAAATAAGTGAATAGCAAAAGTACGATGCAATATATACAAAATAAAGTAACAAAGTAATAAAGAAATAAAGTGGTAAAGCAAATAAAGTAAATAAATAAACAACCAAAGAAGAAAACAAACAAAACTAGGACAAACTCGCATAGGGTCCCCAGCAGAGTCGCCAGCTGAAGCAACCGGTAAAAAACACAGAGCCACCACCAAACTTTATTTATCCGGAAGGAAATGAAAATATCGTGAAAACCCCAAGAGGATGGATAAGATGGTCTTATGACCAAAAGAGAGGGTACGAAATTCGATTATTCGGGGGGAAGGTATTAGCACCCCTCACATCCTTCTACTCAATAGGATCCATTTCGTTTATTTGTTTCTAAGGGTGCGTCTATCTAAAACTATATTGTTAAGGGAAATTAAATGGTTTTTATTAGTGCGTTCGTGAGGGTCTCACAACCCTTTGCCTATGTATCCCGTGAAGGAATCATAACCTCACAGTTCTTCTATAAAATGTTGGTTTATTGTTGTTTTTAGTGGGCAACGTTAGTGCACATATTCTAGTAATAGGCACGACCTGTATCATGGTAGAACGGAGATAATATTCCCCTTTGAAGAAATCTTTGATTTGTTAAGTGTTTTTGTTAAGTGTGAAATGGGTTTGAATAATGATTAAGTGTTTTTGGATTTTTTGATAAAGGAAAGGAGTTTTAGTTTTAATTAGGAAATATTCAATGCAAAAGAAAGTCTAAGGGGAAAGTCTACCCTAATGTTATCATGCAATTAGTGGACTTAAAGTTGAATTTTTGAAAGGAGAAAATCTACCTAAAATGTTATCATGCAAATGATTGATTCTAAAGTTCTTTTCAACACAAAACGATCAAAAATGAATTTAATCGCTTCATGGGATTACTAAAGGGAACATGTTATAAAAAATTTAACCAAGAAATAAATCAAAAAAAAAAAATAACAGAAATACAAAGCACATGTTTTTTTGTGATTTTTATCAAGTAAAGGAATGAGACTAAACAAACAAAATAAAAATGATTAACTAAACAAAGTTACTAAACTAAATTTAAAGCAAAACTAAATAATAAAAATGATCTATTTAACCAAAAGTGTGATCAATTAATTGATTTTAAAACTAAAACAAAATTAATAAAACAATTAACTTAAACAAAGGTGCATAGTAGAATATAGGGAGGATGGCAAGCAGAAATTCGCAGTGGGCTTGGTATATAAGAAGACACACGAGTTGGCCCAATATATTATCAATAAAATAGACAAAGTGGAGGTGTGTGGAGAAAACAAATTGGGATTATGGGATGTGGTCCATACAAAATTTGTAACTGAAAAAACCCATAAAAATGCAACGTGTGGCCGCAAACATTTTGTTTTTGTTTCCACGATACTTTCTTCCAATTTCTCACGGTCTCTCCTTCAACCAATTCTTTATCCTTTATCAATTTTCTCCCTGTTCTTGGCTTCTCACCATCAATCTATGTGCTTTCCCCATACCTCACTCGGTTAAGAATAACAACCAACCTCTCCAAGGTTCCTCGCGGTTTCCGCTCTCTCATTCTATGCTCAACACTTCTTATATCTCTTATGCACTAAAATAACATACCAACTAATCAACCTCCTCTCTCGATTCACAGTTATCTTCTTGCATAAAGTTTAATACAAAACAACAAACAAAGTTCAAATAATACAGCGATCAATCATGCACATATCAATTGCGAAAACAAAATTAAAAGGAAGTGAAAATTGTTACCAATTATGAGATATTTTTCCCCAAACATTTGTCAAGGTATGATGCTTGAACTTATTTCTTCATCTTCAAATTTTTCTTTTTTGTGTTTACGATTCTGTGCTATTTATTATGAGGGCCCGTTCGACTGAGTTTCTGATGTTTGAGCGAGGCAGTGGTGAGTTTATTGATACATCTTATTGTTGCAATTAGATTCTTGGTGTCTTTCTACTTGTAGTTGGTAAGTAAATTATATGAACAAAGGATGGTTTATATAGAGGAATTAAGGGGAATTTTGGGGGGAAAGTAGGATACCTTTTGAACATTTTAGTTTTCTTCTTTGATGCTTTATGGATGTAGGCTATGTATTTCCATTCTAATGCAATTTTCTGATATGTTTTTGGACTATTGTTACAGGTTTTGGACAGGCTTATGCAGGAGCTGTTTTGTGCAGATATTTTGTAACTATTTTGCTTGGTATGCGGTAGGTTTTGGATAACAACTAGTGCAAAGTATTGGACTGTTATGTTTGGTTAGTTTTGACAGGTTTTTGGGCTATTTTGGTAAAGGTTTATGAGTGACTTGATGTACTATTTTTTGGACAGCAAAATGCAAATTGTGTGCAGGACAAGGACAAGGAAATAACATGTTTTGGGCAGTAGAATTTTGGACTCATTGGACTTATTGAAACAAGGTTTTGGATAGGTTTGGCAAGATTGTAAAGTTATTTTGAACATATGATGAAGCAAGACCAAGAACATGGTTGTAGCAATGGCTTTAGGAGTTAGAAACTTTTTGTGTTTGGTTTTCTTTTGTTTCAAAATTCTAAATGATGTAATTGGTTGTAATAGTGTAATGAAATTTGAACTAAGTTTTAATCAACATTCATATTTTGCAATTATTCTTCCAACAAAAATCTTCTTTGAACTCATGATACCAAAAGTACACAAAATTTTCTTTAATTTATATTTGAGTTTGAATTCTCCAACATCTCTTAAATGAGTTCCATGATGCCTTGTGCCATGAAAGTGAAATTTGATCATCAAAAAAACAAAATTCTAAGTCACACCTTTAATTCTTGATTTCTCTTGATGAAGTAATGAATATGGGTGATCTTGTATAAAAATTGAATGAAATTTTCCACTTAAATGACTTTTGAATCAAAATGGTCATTCAATAAATCTTTATGATCTTTAAGTGGGAGTAAACTCTTTATTCGAATCTTTTTTAGCCTCTTGAAATCTAGATCAGGAGCATGTAGACATTCGACAAAATTTAGTCAAAAGAAATCAAATTTCCAAGTTTGACTTTGACCAAAGTCAAAGAAACTTGCCTTTGCTTTTGAACTCGAACCAAAGTATGCTTCCATAAGAATTTTGGATTACAAACAAGCTTTATCCCGTGTTTGCTCCTTAATTAAAACCCTAATTCATATTTGAACTTAAAATCCACAATGCCTTGCTCCTTAAGCCATAGTCGATTAGAGAATATGCTCACAACCCTAATTTGTATTCCTCTCATTCAAATATGTGACATCCTTTCAATTGTCTCTTTTGATTGATCCTGAGAAAGCTCAAATATAATTTAAATTATAATACTCATCACATTCCCATCCAAGCTCCTGGAAAGAAAACTAGTTGCATGATTTGTATATTGATGAGAAGGAAATTTAGGATGACCATACTTCCGAGCCTAATTCAAGATTCCACTGCTCAAGGAGGAACCTGGGAAAGCAACCATAGAATGTAGAAGCCTCAAACCAAAATTAAACCTTAGTTGTCACAACCAATGATGCTTTAAACCACTGCCTTATTCAATGAAGGGATGATATGTGAATGACCTAATGAAAATGATGCAAATGAAATGTAAAGCCTAAGCCAGATAAAAGTGAAAAGGTAGGACAAATTTTGGGTATGACAACAACACACATAAATTGTTAACTCAGTTCGGAGTAAATCTCCTACTATGAGGGCATACCAACCCAAGGATAAAGTCCACTATAACAATATCAATTTGAAGCTAAACTAGTCCCGAGTTTACAACTTCTCACTTAATCACTACTCGTGCTAACTTTCTATCTAAGACTCGCCTAGATATGGGCCCCTCCTCAATCCCTCATCAATCACATACACCAATCAGACAAAACAGGAAGACACACTTCCATGACATAACAACCAGAAGACAAACTTCCATGACAATACCTAGCAAAGACTCTTGACTAAGAACATAACATAGAGTTTCTTAAAAGCTTCTTCCAAGAACAATACTCACTCTTGGTTCACATATTCGAGGAGAACAATAATAAACTCTATACCTTAAAGCTTAAGAGTGACAACATAACCTTGCAACTCAAGGAACACAATCCAACTCACATATCGAGTGGATCACACACCCAACTATCCTAGAGAGTTGTACAGACTCAACCCTAATGACTACATCTTTTCAATTCTTGGCTGAAACCTTTCTTAGGTTACAATGCTTCTATTTATAACATATCTCCCAATTGGATTTAAATCACAGTATATCATCTATTACAAATCAATAGAAGATTCTGCTGCAAAATAGGTGTTGACTGGGAATTTTGACTGCATGAGTTTTAAGCTGAAAATGATACATTTTAAAGAAATGTGGTTTGAAAGATAGTTTAATACGGTGGGAGAATTGACTTGGGTTTTTTGTTTTATTGAAAATGTTGCAGAAAGCAAAAGTCGCCACCGACTTTTCATTTATCCAACAAAGGAAAGGGTGAAAAGAACAGGAAAGACCTTTGAGAATTTTCTTGAGTTCAGGGGGTAGGTTATGAAAAGGGAAGGTGTTAGCACCCTTTTCATCCGTAGTTAACTACAGACTCTTAATTTCTATCTCACTTTGTAAATTTTCTTTGTGTTGTATGTTTTTTGAAAATGTTTTGAAAATGCCTAAGTACGGAAATTTTGTAATGATTCTCGTATCATTGAGAATGTATACAAAATGTTTGTTTTTGAAAATATTTTGAAAGTGTCTAAGTGTTGTTTTATAAAATGTTTTGAAAACTCTAATGTAAGGCAATTTACTTCATAATAACCCTTGTATCAGTCCTCAAGAGTATTTATAAAGCATTTTGAAAGTAGTTATTTTGAAAATGTGAGGTGTAAATATTGTTTTAGTTTGTGAGCAAGCGATTACGAGCGATCTACCTACTCAAAAGGTCTTTGTTCTTTTTCTCCTCCTTTAGATAGTGCTATCCTACCATTAGTTAGTAGGAAACCCTATCACTGGATGTGGGAGACATGCGTGGGTCATCGTATATTCATAGAAGGAAACTTGTAAGACGCTTTAGCAATTGTCGTAAGGGACTAAGATTGTTTAACAAAGGAAACATCAAAGGGTCATCGAGGGACTTTGATCTTTTAATCAAGGGTCTTTTGCTAAAGCGTCTCACGTTCTAGGGACATGACTGTTTATATCCGAGGCAACAAGTGAGGTTACTCTAGAGTTGCGTGTGTGCGAAGTGTTTTGATTTCAAGTATTTTTATTTGAGATTATGCTTTCTAAAGATTGATTTTAATCTTGCCATACAAAACCCTAATTAGTAACAATAATAAGGAAAACGGTAAATTGCAGAAATTAAATGTCCTACGCTATTACAATGCTTCGAGGATGGGGGACCAAATTTATGAATGGGGAAGGAAAGCAATAAACCCTAATCATCTATTACAAATCTTTGACAGTTACATAATTGTTTTAATGCGAAAAGTAAATAAATGCACGAGATAGAAAGGGAAAAAATGTAAAAACCCTAAAAAACTCTAAGTGTTTAAGAAAATGTTTATTTGTTTCTTTGTTTAGAAAATAATTGAAACGATGAAGTAAAAAGTTAGACCTAATTCTATTTTTATTTACAATTTCATTATTTTAAAATAAAATAAAGTGTAATTAAATTAGTTAATTCTATGTATGAAAATTAATTTAATTAAGTAAAAACCTAAAGAAAATTAAATATTTAGAAAATATTTTTGGTGTTTTATTTAGAAAAGAAATTTTATAGTATAAACCCTAAATCTAATTAATTAAAATCAACGTGATTAAATTAAATTTTATTTGTCAAAATTAAAAACCTAAATCTAATTTTTTCATCATTTTTATGATTTTTTTTATTAAAATAAAATTAATTAAAAAAATAAATGTTAATTAAAATAAAATAAATAAAATTGAAATGGGCCAGTAGTGTAAGCAAATTGGGGGTGAGAAAGAAGTAAAAATCACCTGGCCCAACAACAAGTTTTTTTTGTTTGAAGCTGAAACAATAAAAAAAATAGAGTGGGCCTGACGCTGTAAAATAAAAATGGGGGGTGAGAAACCAAAAATTCCAGTTCCAACAACAAGGAAATCCAACGCCTATTTGGATCCAGTGGGGTTGGTTTTATGAAGGTGTACCATAAGCGCGCTGATTGATGCGTGGGATCTGACTACATGATGATCTGATGGTGTTGATGTGAGGATGTACCACGAGCGCGCTTGCCTTTCTTACACCTGATTAACAAAGGAAATGAAAAATAAAATTCCAGAGGTAGGAATCGAACTCCTGCCCTGGCACACTAACAATTTACTCACACACACGCTTGCCACTGGGGTGCTGTTTCACCTGGTTATGAAATAGCCACCAATAAATATATTATAAAATCATTTTAGAAATTCAAATTTGTGGACTTCTTCTTCTTCGTCGCGCCAGAACAACAACTTCCATCCTTTGATTTTGTAAAACTTTCATTTCTCAACCATTTTGAAAGATGTAAACATCAAAGTTGTTCCAAATTTCACAACAGATTCAACTATGCCATTAACTTAAAATAAAACTCAAAGATTAAAGTGAATTTCTGTTGGTACCAAACTGAACCCTAATAATTCAAAAATTTCAAATCCAAAATTCTCATTACACATTCAATATAAATGAAAACTAAAGACATGATTAACTTCAGGACATTGATATCTACATTTTTGCTTTAGAAAATAAATGCAAATGATGCTTCTACAGAGATTTCATAGTTTAGAAAACTTACCTCAAAAGTGAGAAACGAGTTTGAAGTTAGAGCACTTCTGGAGATGTTAGGATGATATGGATAACTTCACTAAACTCCTAGGAAGCTTTTAAAATGCCTATCTTGGATTGAGAGTCCCTCAAATCTTCTGGACAAGTCAAGTTGCAGAGGTGACAAAATGGAAATGGTGGATGATGAAGATGATGTTACAGAAGTGTAATAGGTATTTGGATGTTTTTTATATGAGTTATAGAAGCTTTTTAAATGATTTAGAGTTAAAACACATGAGTGGATTGAGTGTTTGGTGTTCAAGGTCAGAAGTTGCAACAAATGGAGTTTTATATGTAGCTTATGATCTTGAGGGGTTTTTTGAGGTTGCGAATTTGTGTCTTGGCTTGCAAATACTCCCTCTATTTATAGGCAAGAGGTTTGAGGGCAAGAGCTGATTAGGTTTGCAAGATCACATGTTATGGCTTGGTTGCTTAGTTATGAACCAAACTTGAAGATCATGGTTCCAATGCCTTGTACCTTGTCTCATAGAGTGGTTAGAAACTTTAAACATGTTCCCCTGAGTTTTTTATGTTGAGTGTGATCAGAACGAAAAAGTTAGAGGCTTAAGAAGTTGACTTTGTCATTAAAGTGATCCTTACGCAAATGTGTTGTACCCCAA